AGCTTTTATTTACGCGTATGTGCGTTTGTTTGTTTGTTTGTTTGTTGTAAAAAAAAAAAAAATTCCGACGATAGATTGAAAGATGAAAATATTTAAAACGGTCACGCGTAACCTTTCGACCTTTTTTATAAAAAAGAACAGAAGAACCTTTTACCCACGAATTGTATTTCCTCTTTAATAATAATAATAATAATAATAATAATAATAATAATAATAATAATAATAATAATAATAGTAAAGAAAATTTTTTTTTCTAACCCTTAAAACTTGTGACCGTTCATTCACAAAATTAAATTGACCGTGTTTGCTTGTTTGTGCCTTTTTTATTATTTTTTTTTTTAATGCGAACCTTTCGGTTTAAAGATTTAAATTTCGCCATTTTGAATTTTCCTCTCTTTTTTCTCACTAAATCAATAAAAAAAATGATCTGGTGACACGTTTTTATTTAAATAAATAAACGATTTAAATAATTTCTTTTTTTTGTTATGAATGAAATTTCGATTAACGATAAAAACGTGTAAATATAAATTAAAAATTATCATTATTATTATCATTTAAACAAATAAAAACGAATTAAAAAAAAAAATTGAAAGGGTTAAACAAGTTTTTTTTTTTTTTATTCTCTCCGTGAGAAAAACGAACGAACGTGGAACTAAAAACACATGTTTTTCCATTTTTCCACAAGTTTTCCTTTTTTTAAAAAATTCACATTTGACATTGAAAAATAATGATAATGATAATAATAATAATAAACTATCGTGAAAAGTCATTTTTCAAAACTTTCCCTTTTTTTTTTTTTTTTTTTTTTTTTTTTTTTTTTTACCTTTTACTACAATAAATCTATTCGTGTTTACAAAGTTTTATTTTATTTGTTTATTTTTTTTTATGTGAAATTTAAATTCGCGCATGCGCGTTTGCCAAATTTACCCAAAACATAATACATTTAATTATTGTTTTTTTAGGTTTTAAAAAAAAAAAAACAACAACAACAAATATGGCGTCAAAGAGCTATGTTTGTTTTTTCCTCCCCAGGATAGGATTTCTGCCAGGATAGTTATCGATAAAAATTTTTAACAATAATAATAATAATAATAATTAATTATAAAAGTTTTACGGGATTTGTTTTATAGAGTCTCTAAGGAATTTTTTTAAACGTTTGAAAATATCGATGCTTTCACCCCCCCCCCCCCCAAGTAACTACACAACCCGATTTTCTTTA